AACTTATTTATTTTATTTATTTATTTATTTATTTGATTTGCCAATTGTTTACAAGATAATAAGTATAAGTGTATACATAGTTGTGAATACATGTAATGGGTACATATAAGAAAAATAAAAGAATAAGAGAAACAATAGGACAGGGATGGTAGGCACGATGGTGCGCTTATGCACGCCCCCTACAGACCTCTTAGGAAAGGGGTGAGGTCAATAGTAGACAGTCTAAGGTTAAAGTTTTTGGGGTTTGGGGAAGAGACTACAGAGTCGGGTAGAGTATTCCAGACATTGACCACTCTATTGCTGAAGTCTGATTATCTGTTATCTGTTACTTTCAGAACTGAATGTCTAAGTCAGTAGATCAAGGAGCTTACTTTTAAATCAGTCCTGTTTTGTTTTTTCCCCCAGTAAAGACATGTTGCATTTAATTTAGCTCTTAACATAATGTGTATTAATGTAATGCTATCTGGATCCTTCTATAGCTAAATCAGCACCACTGATGCACAAGAGAGGGATTTAGCAAACTGGGAGTAATCCTGAGATTTGCAAAGTGTGTCCATGTCTCTCTCTCTCTCTGTTTCTCTGTGTGTATAAAGAGGATGATTAAAACTTAAGAAGCCTAACTATTTCCCCTCCCCCCTGCCCAAATGCATCTAACCCAATACATTTAGAACACGTAGGCTATGAAGAAAGTGGAAAGCTGCATCTGAAATTGACTGAAGCAGTTTGGAGAAAGACGTAACTAGTCTGAAGCACTCCATACAGCAACACTCAAGTTTCAGTTCACAATTGTACAATATCTACTTACATTTTTTTTTAAAAAAATATTATTTATTATTATGAGAGCGCCAGTTTGGTATGACTAAGGCACCAAGCTACAAACTGGAGACCGTGAGTTCTAGTCTGTCAGAGTGATTGTGGCCAGTCACACTTTCTCAGCCCTAAGTGAAAAGAGGCAAAGGAGGTAAAGACAAATCTCTTCCAAAAATGTTGCCAAGAAAACTGCAAGAACTTGTCCAGACAATTGCAGGAATCAACATTGATCTGAAGGTATATTCCCGAAGGTATAATGTATTACTATGGAACGTAGCATCAATCAGTTCAACATGGTTATAAACACATAGGATGTTGCAGCTACAGAACAAGGTTGGCACCCTGTTAATTGCACAGTTGGGAAAAATCACAGTCTCACCATTCTCCTCCAAATGGTGGAAACAAATGGAAAATGTTGACCAAAAGAGGAAAGAAAGATAAATGGGGAATGTATCCAAGCTGGTTTTCTTATTCATTACCATGCCATTGTTCCTACCAAAGAAAGTAAAGTTGGCCAACTTCAGGAACCCAAAGTTTGCCTGCTTCCTTCTCTGCAGTTCTGTGGAGCTCTGCCACTATTATAAAATCTGATTTGCCAGTGTTTAATGTCTACTCTAGCGTGTTATATTGCATCATTTTCTTAACCATTTTTATTTATCCACTATCAAAAGCTACACACTTAGGTTTCTGTTTGTCTCAGATAACTTTTTAAATAATCTGGCTGATAGTCTTGTTAATAGGCAAAAAAAAAAAAAAAACATCTTGTAGATTGTCACAGTTTTAAGGATGCTATTTAGGCTGATGGAGACAATTGGAAGGAGAAATATTCTACCTTAGTTAGGCAAAACCATTCTTAACAGGTTGAGCAGATTAAATAGCCTTCCTAAGGTGACAAGACAGAAGACCACTAGGTAAAGGTAAAGGTTTCCTTCACACATACGTGCTAGTTATTTCCGGCTCTAGCGGATGGTGCTTATCTTTGTTACAAAGCTGAAGAGCCAGTGCTGTCCGAAGACATCTCTGTGGTTATGTGGCCAGCATGACTAAATGGCAGAGGCGCACGCAACGCTGTTACCTTCCCACCAAAGTGGTCCCTATTTTTCTACTTGCATTTTTACATGCTTTCGAACTGCTAGGTTGGCAGAAGCTGGGACAAGTAATGGGAGCTCACTCCGTTACGTGGTGCTAGGGATTTAAACCACTGAACTGCCGACCTTTCTGATTGACAAGCTCAGCGTCTTATGGGTTAATACAAAATATCAGTTGTATAAGTGATATTTTGTATTAACCCATAAGATGCTGAGCTTCAATTGAAAAACAAACTGAAATCTTTCGGGGGGGGGGGGGGGGGGGAGAGTAAAAATAAAAAAACCTTACAATAACATAGTTGCATAAGTATGCACACCCTCTTGTAAGTAGGATGTGGCTGTAATACATACAGTATATCCCAAGGGGAACTTAGAAATAGTTTAGGTGGCAAGTCATTGAAGTATAATTATGTCCTGAAACTACTATAAATGATGTAAAAGATCATGTAAATGATCTTTTTTGGGAAAGGAAGATTTTTTTGGTGGTTATTGTATGGGACTCAATTTCTTTGACCAAATGTTTTGTGGGATTTGATTCAAAAGGTTTACAAAGCCATTGCTTCTGAGAAGATTGGATATGATAATTGAGCAAACCAGAAGACCAACCAAGGCTGCAATCTAAAACAGAGTTATTTAAAAATAACAATGCCTAAAATATATTGGGCTTCTGAAATCAGGCTAAAATGAGATTTTTGTGAACACAGTATCATCACTTTCAGATTGCTTTTCTGTGAATCTTGAATTCTTGCCTTCATCTTTTCTCCTGTAAAGCTTTATTCAAATCATTGTCTACTCATGTTACAGAGTTTTTAAAGGATTAAATAGTGAATCATTTCAAATATTTGTCAATACATGTGAAACATTTCCCTTGTCTAAATAATTACTTAAGGAATTAACTCTCAATGCAATAGAAATGCAAATTAAGATTCTGTCAATGTATAGTAGATGTCGGCTACCTAAGCAAGCTGAGAGGATAAAATGATGAATAGAATGTACCATAATACATGTCAAGAATGACACTATTTCTAGCTTAACATTGCAAATAAATGTTGGAACTGTGGTATGAATAGCATAATGAGATCTCTTTATGATGTGCTCCATTTTGACTAAGCACCAGTGGATTCTAGGATGTACAAATTACATGACTGTGATATAGATTGCTCACAACCATAAGTATATAATGCAAAGGAGATCTATGCAGGATCGAGAAAAGCATCTCAGTGACATGCAGACGAACAGACCCTTGCAACAGAACAATTTTAGTACCGATAACATTAATTTTAACCCATATTTCAAATATATTGTCTGCTATTTCGAGGACTTGCAGATTAGAAAGAATATAAGTCAAATCATAAAGTACATACCTTCCTCCTATTTCCCCCACAGCAACCACCCTGTGAAGTGAGTTGGGATGAAAGAGAGTGATTAACCAGCTGGCTTTAGTGGCTAAGGTGGAACTAGAACTCTTGGTCTCTGGCTTTCTAGCCTGATGCCTTAACCACTAGACCAAACTGGCTCCATTGTTATTGTTAATCACTGATCTTTACTACCCGGTTTGGCTAGCTGAATGTGCTATTGATACAGAATCTGGTCAAAAGTTTGAAGCACTGATATATATTTTTTCTACCCTCTTCCTAAAATGCATTCCCTCTTCATTCCCATCATCTGAGCCACAAATTTATCAATGATGATCAAACCCAGACTGCCCTATGAAAGAGGAATTTGATAAAAACCAAACCGTATAAATGGTTTGTAACTAATTTTAGAAAGATTAGATTCTGTGGAACATGCAGTGAAATAAGATTGTTGAAATTATGGACCCAGGAAACGTATCACCATCATGTGAACTTATATAATCCTGACTGCTGTAGCTGCTGGGTCCCAAAGTGTACCCCATCTTCAAGCTTTTGTACCCTATGACTATTATTAAGTGTTGTACCTTATGATTCTTGACTTTTGACAAATGTATCTTTTCTTTTATGTACACTGAGAGCATATGCACCAAGATAAATTCCTTGGGTGTCCAATCACACTTGGCCAATAAAGAATTCAGTTCAGTTCAGTTCAACAAGAGTCAAGTTGGGGCTGTTTAGGACATATATTAATTTCAAAATAAAAAAGGTTCTCATGGGACATGGAGATGAGAACTAGGATAATTAACCTATGGGTAGGTAATGTCCATGCCCTGCACAAATATTATTAAGTAGACCATAAAACTGCTCAATTCTGAGGGTGCTTTATCCATCCCAGCATGTAAGACCAAAGTAGAGTTATAGAATTAAATATATCAATCTTCATGAATAGAGCGTTTTAACCAAGAAGCATATCCTATTCATTGAAGCTGAGCTGTGGAGTTCTGTTAAGTGTTCCTATAGTAAAGCATACTTTACTATAGGAACACTATACCACATTGGTACTCCATATGGTGGATTTCTTCCATGCAAGAAGGGATAGCAGAGCAACAATGGAATTTTTTCAATTCACAGGTTTGTGAGAATATAAGCCAATGTATATAACAAAGTGTTATAGCTAAAACATACATATCATAGTAGCAGGAAGCTCAATAAAGTCACGATTATGCTAAAGAACTGAGATGTGCTTGAAGGTTCAAGTAGACCTGGCTAACCAGTGAGAGAAGAACATTATAAAAGACAACAATCAAGACCATACACCATTGCAAAAGGAAAACTCATTTTTATTTTTCTCTTATCCTTCAGTTAATACCACAGCACTGGAATTCACTGTATAGTATAGTTTAAGACAGAAGGCACTGAAGAACCAACCCAATGATATACATGAGAATAATAAGGAAATTGAAAACAAAAAAATAGGGCAAAGATAAGAGAATCCACCTGGTACCAGCTTCTACTAATAGAGATGGTAATTGGTAGTACAAAATCCTAGCACAAAGTCTATGGTACTTTTTGCCACCATGATGGTTTTGCCTGAGCATTCAGAGCAATGGCCTAATTTCAAATGGCATGTGCTGAAAATAGGACAACCATGTTCCTCATTAGCCTTTAGGGCTTTGCTGGCTGAGGAATTCTGGGAGTTGAAGTCCACAAGTCTTAAAGTTGCCAAGGTTGGACACCCCTGCTTTAGGGTAACTTGCAATAAAATGCAGTGCTTTGTTTACAAAGTTAAAACTGAAAAGTTATACCCCATCATTCACTCAAGGAAGGGAAAACAGTTAACTTGTTCTTGCTTATTATTGTACAAACATTAAGGCTTAGCCCTCAATCTTTTCATCTTCAATGTGTCCATAATGGTGGTACAACACTGACCTCATCATGCCAGCTCGCTTTTTTACAGTGATATCCTCTTATCCACAGCCATATTTCTCTCGTCCTAATCCTGATTTCTGTGGCTGCTGGGTCCCAAAATGTATCCCCACCTTCAAGGGATTCCACAATGGGATTCTTTACGAAGGTGGACCATTTTATTACAGCAAATATGGCAGGCTACATACATAGTAGCAATAACTAGAACTAGAACGTGAAAAGTTTTGCAAGGTAGTACCTCCTCCTTATGCATCACATCAACTGCTTTTGAAACAGAGAATTCCAAAAGCAACATGCAATATAGCATCAGAGACAGTTAGAAAAAAAATCATGGAGATACAATAGTCCTTATGCAACCCCAGGAAGTTCTTTGGACTTTGGTCTGTGTACAAATGGGAATTTTCACTGCAGTTTTGACTGGGCTGAATAAATCCCTATCCTTGATGGATATTATTAAACCCGGTAATACTGTATGGATCTACAATGTGAAAGCAAAAGATTTTGCATTGCACAGGACAGAAATAAAATATTCGTTGTGTTGGTTGTTGTTTTTTTAAATCAAAGTCTTACCGCTTTCTTTAGAGCAAAGAACTCAAAAAGACATGCCATATTATTCCATATTAGAATATTTCAAACATGTGAAGGGAGTGAAGGGAGGCAGGAAAAATGCATGCCCATATTAGATAGATGTAAGGGTAAAATACATTCTCAGATAAGTAATACTAGCATTATAATACACAGATCATTCTAAACGTACTTAACCATTATGAATTAGACTACTTTCAAGTAGGCCAAATAACTTTTGCAGAGGAAATCTGGATTCATTTGAAAGCCAACGCTGAGTGCTTTACAAAAGGATGTCCATATTGTCCAACTGTGATCTACCTCTGATAAAAGTTTGTCTTAGAATGTAAGTGTGAATCTGTGTATAAAACAAACTAGCTGTCCTCAGCTCAGAGAAGATAAATAATTAAGGAAACGACTCCATAAACAATGTAGGTTGTTTCAGCATTTTAGGTAAAGGCATCTGGGCTTTTATCAGGAGACAAAATAACGAGGGAAAATACCATTCTTTCTCCCAGTTATGGGTGTTGGGTTCCTTCTCCCCATTAGACTTCCTGAAATTATAACATAGCACTCCTAGCAATAGTTTTTTCCCTTTTCTAAATTATTTCTCAGCTTTTGCATATAAGACACACAAGAAAGCTACAGTTAGCTGCAGTATAAAATGTAAAAATGGTTTTTAGAAAAACATTTTGTTACATAGCAAAACATTCACTTTGGACAGCAATTATCAATGCATATTAATATTGCAGATTAAACTAATGTCACCCCCAATTAATTTTTGTTACTGTTGCCAGCACTGTTATCATACCAACATTACATTTTATTGAAGGGTACAACCCCCTTTACACATGAAATATTTAAAAAAACCAATCCAATTATTGCAGTTCTTTTTTTTTTTTTTAAGTAGGCTTTGGTCCTACTCAGTGAACATAGTCAGGATGGAAAGAAATTCAAATAAATTTTGTAGGGATTAGGAATATTGAGACACACATAATTTTTTGCTCCTTTGAAAGGGACTAAATCACACACAACTTAATTTGCTAGATTTCTTAAATCTAAAATCTCCTTAGTGAAAGAGAGAACTGGCAGGGCCTAGATGACCAAGAACTGTAATAGGCAAATAAAGTTATATATAGAAGTGGCAGATTTTCATTAAAGCATCACTCTTTTGAAAGAATTTATATTGTATCTACTCTAACAATTGTGTACACTTCATGAAGAGTCATTGTATACTTTGTACCTCCACTTTCACTTATCATTCCAATCTTTCACTTTAAAAAAAATCTGGACCTTATGGTTGAAGAAATATGCTGCCTAGTCTAATAAAATTGACCATAGCTTTCTTTTACATAAACTGTTCTGGAATGGCTGGTCGTATTAGCAGATGGATTCTCTGTTGGTTGAACAATAGTAACCAATTCATGATTTTTAGTAGATCAAGAGGAGCGGATACTTCAGAATTCTATATTGGACCCAGCATTCTTCAGCATTGTTATAAATGATTTATGCAAGCTATAGAACGGATGCTAAGCAGATTTGCAGATGACACAAAGCTGAGAGGAGAGATTGGTAATACATTAGAAGACCAGCTCAAAGGATATTGATTGATTTGCATATTGAGCCCTTTCAATGAAATTCAGTTCAATGGTCAGAAATGTAAGGTTCTGCAATTAAGGTGGAAAGAAACCAGATGCACAAGTACAATACTGGTGGTATTTGTTTTGAAAGTAGTATTGGCGAGAAGGATCTGGGTGTCCTGGTAGATCACAGCTTAAGTAAGAGCCAACAATGTATTGCAACTGCCCCAAAAGCCAATGCCACCTTAGGCTGCGTTAACAGAGGTATAATCCTGAGATTGTGGGGAATGACAATTCTACCATGCACCGGCCTGCTCAGATTACAACTAAAATAATATATCTGGGATTGGCTGCCACAGTACAGGAATTGGAAAGAAGGCAGAGAAGAACAAGAGATGATGAGGGGTTTGGCAATTAAATCCCATCAAGAACAATTAAAAGGACAGGGGATGTTTACCCTAAAGAAGTTACGGCTAAGGGGAGACATAAAACTTTACAATGCCAGAAGGGCTAACATAGGGAAGAGGATGTACATTTATTCTTCATAGTGTCAGAAGATAGGACAAGAACTAAAAGGTGGAAGCTTCACAAAGAGAGATCCACATTTAAAATTAGGAAGAATATCCTGACGATAACAGCTATTAAGCAGTGGCATTCTGGAGTTGTGAGGGTTCCATCTCTAGAACAATGGCTGGTTATTCATTATAGTTAGCCTAGAAGACCAAGGTCCCTTCCTGCCCTATTATTTTATGAATCTTGAAAGTCAGTGAATGGGTGAGCCAAGCTTCCTGTGGCAAGAAGCTCCATTGTACCCCATGCCTTGTCCAATGATAATGCAAAATACACAATGAAGACTTAATGGAGGAATAAATTATGCAAAACAGAAAATGCAGACATAATGGCAAGTTCTCATAATTTATTCAGATTACAGGATTTGGAATTGTCACAAAAGATACCTGCCTATAAGCAAAGCACTGCTCTGCATCCAATTCTGCTTTCATAGGTTGATCATGCATCAGTGCATGCCTTAGATAATAATACTGATGCAGTTTCAGCCTTGGGGCAACTATTTATGCTACCAGAGGTTCTTACAAGCTGCTGTCATGCTTCACATGAAACATGGGCTTGCTGATTACATGTAGCCAGGGACAAATTGGTATATTATAATTATGATGCCATAAATACTTTTTTCGGACAAAGGCTGACAACCATTTTCTTTCTTTCCACCACTCCCTGCCATCCAATGCATGTGATGATAGAAAACCAATTGTAACCTTGGGACAGTGGGCCTTCTTATGGGTTAAGACTATTATATGGAGCATGTGCTACATGGAGTTACTTCCTGCAGCTTCTATGTGGCAGTCATAGCAGAAACAATGGCTCAGGCTCATGTAAACAGAAGAATACTGAAATGTAGGAAAAAATATGTCGAAGTTAATCTACTAAATGTTAACGCAGCAACACATTTTAACAATTGAAACGGAGGGTTCCAGGTGTGCCTTCCGTGAGCAATAGGAAACACCTTACAGAATAACCATCACTTATGTAGAAGGCCTTACATGTCCCTTGTTGTTAACCTGCTGTCTTCAGGTTATACATTTGCACCTGTATTTAACAATGCGGAGATCAGCCTAGCAGGTAGCTAACATGCCAGCATGTTGGCACCCAAACTAGGTGCAATCCTGTTCTCACTACAATAGTTGGAATAGGCTGATCTCCTTAAGCCAACCAAGAAACTGAAGTATATGAACATGGATACTGCAATGACATAATGATGGGAAATAAAATAATAATAAAGAAAACTTGATAGGAATGGCTTCTTTAGGATGAGAAGAACACCACAGTACAGTTAAAAATCTTCCTTCCCCACGCACCCCGCTCTTCAGACACATTTGTCAGATTTGAAGGTAGCAATTTTTTGGCCCAGCTTATTACCAGCTGCATTAGTAGAAAAGGGGAAAAAACACAGCTTTGCCTGAAAAAGTTGAGCCAGCTATTAAAAAAAAAAGCTGCTTCAACCAATGTATATGTTCTTTGCATGTTATACAAGACTTCCTGGCCAGCAGATAACAGTCAAGGTTACTTTATTTCTCTGTTCCTTTAACATAGGAACCAGCGCTGAATGGCTCATACCCATGGTTGAAAGTCCATTGACAGCAACAATCATATCACCACATCTAAGGAGAGAAACAATGAGGATTACTAAATTACACAATCCCACATACTGCAGGAAATGACCTGAGTTTGCATGATCAATTCTTAGATACCTCTGTTTAGGTATGATGGAAAACTAAATTTGACACAATTCTCGTTGCAAAGGTAATGTTAACTGGCTGATGTATACATGCAAAAAATAATTGTTCCAAAGAAGAAGGCATTTTGTTTACATTAAATATACATCTTACAGCAAGTACAATCTCTCACTGTCTCTACTGCAGAAGAGTATGACTCTTTGAAGATAATGCTGGTAATTCAGATTTTTAAAAAGTAACAATTGAATTCAAATGATTTTGAATGTTTAACTTGATTGACTGAGTAATTGAGAACACTTCAGTTAATGGAACAATTTACAGTGGAGTCACTAAATAGCATAGCTGTGGAAAATATCTGGAAAGGCAGAAAACTGAAAAAAATCAGCTTCGCATTTAAAATTGTGAAAAAAGAGGAATGTGGGTTGATTTGGTGGGTAATGGATTCTTGGTTTGTGATAGATCACCTGAAGGATATCAAATTGGAAAAATGATCCAGATCCTCCTGAGGAAGCTGCAGTCAGAAGTTCACCAGGCAAGGCTGCTATGAGGAATATACTAGGTATCTGTCAGTTAAACTCAGCTGGCTGGAGAATTCTGGGAGTTGAAGTCCACAAGTCTTAAAGTTGCCAAGGTTGGAGACCTCTGAGTTAAAGTATCTGCTAAATGTTGGACTCTAGCCTTGAGGCATGTGCCATGAAGGTTATGAGCCTCAGTCTGGCTTGGTTATCTGGGAGGAATTGGATCCTGTTAGTTCACAGCAAGTGTATAGGATTCTTAGACTATAAGCTTGGATCCTTGCCCCTCCTGGTTACCCAAACATCCCCAGGAGATGACATGGAGTTAGGATCTGGTGATGGGAATGAAGGCATGGTCCTGCCAATTTTGAAGGAGGAACTGGTTCATTCCCTTCTAAAAAAAAAACTATTGAGGAACTCAACTAGGTAGACAACTTATGTCCTTCCTTTTCTACTGAAAATCAGCAAAAAAAAAAGGTCCCAAATCATGATCACATGGCCATGGAACACACAACTGGTTGTAAATACAAGCAGCTTGCCAACCACCCAGCTGTGATCATGCGACTGCAAGAGGGGGAGGTAGCCATAACTTTGAGGATGGATCATTTGTTTGCTTTTTAAAAGTCCACCATAACATAAGATGTGTGGACTTCAACGCCCAGGATTTGGGAAGTTGGAGTCTATACATCTTAACGCTACCAAGATTAAGAAATGCTGGACTTGAGAACGAATCTGAAGTATCAACTGTGAGCTCTGGTGACTTATCCTTCTCTTGTTAAAATCACAGATAAAAAAAAACCCCAAAAGAAAGCCTTACTTGAGTCTTCCATCAAAATATGCTGGTGTTCCTATAACAATTGTTTTAATGAAGAAATGCTGGTTTGTGTGATTTTCCTCGTAGCCACCAACAATGCTAAATCCCCAGCTGGCTAGATTGCTCCTTCTCAGCACAACGTCATGGTAACTATGTAGGCAGCTGTGGGGGGAAAAGGGCAAGGAGTTGTAAAATCTATTAAGCAAATCTGTTAGCCCGCTAACAAATAATATTAACTCTTTCAGGCTTGCCTGCATACAACGAATTAATGATTTTTAATAATTCAAACAGTAATCGTTCGGTAAGATGTCTTTCTAAACAAAATCTCTTCTTTCCCTGAAGCGTGGCACACCTTTTAAATATCCAGGCAAAACATAAAGTCAACTGACTTCATACCCAAACCTGGATCCATATTCTATGAGATCAAGAATGCTGATGCGTGGAAAATAACTAATTTTGGGAAACTCTTGGGAAAAGTAACTTGAGGTTTTGAAAGGGGCAGATACATTTTAAACATAAAATAGCAAATAATAAATATATGACAAATCACTTTTATAGCTCCTTTTGAAAATGGACTCCTTTTTACTAAACAGGGCCTGTGTTGTGGTTCGCCGGCAGCCTGTGCAGACGGCATCGGAATTGGACAGTGGGGAAGAACGGGAACCAGTTCAGGAGCCTGGGGAGGATTCGGACGAGGGTCCTGCATCCGATGCAGAGATGGGGCCAGGACCATCTATCTGGGATGGTGTGCTGTGGGGTGCTGACTCTGGAACCTCCAGAGTCTGGCAGCAGCGAGGCAGAGGAACGAGGGGAGCCTGTTCCCAGTGTGCATGTGCGCAGAGCTGCTAGAAGGCAAGAGCAGCTGAGACTAAAGGGGGGGGGGACTCGGGAGTAGGGCTTGGAGGTGATTGCCCCTCCCATAAGGTATAAAGGACAGGCAAAGGTGAAGAAATCTTTGTAGGAAGCAAAGTCGTTCGCTCTTTTCAGATTAAACCTTGAAGCTCTGTGTGGACTTTGTACTTCGGTTGGTTTTTTACAGTTAATTTGGCACTTTAGTTGTTGGCAGCAATTCAAAGGAGATAAAGGTGGGTGCTTATCTCGAGGGACTGTTTGAGACTCATTACAGGCTGGGAATGAACATAATTCTCAGTGTTGAAATAAAACAAGTGTTGTTTGCACTAAGCGTGTGCTTAATTACAGTCTCGGAAGCCTTGGACAGAACAGCCTGCTTCTTTGTTTTGTTGGTTTGGGCTTTCACAAGAAACTATAGGCTGATCCTGATATTCTGAAAGAAATTCTAAAAAAAAAAGGTATTGCTCTACTAATCATGTATATTTATAGAAACCTTATTAAAAATTACAATAATGTCTTCTATTTTTAACACATTATACTGTAAGAGAATGGCATGCACAGGACTTGCAAAGAATTGAGGTTGAATACAGAAAACAGCATGATTCTTCAACCCTGCTCAGAAAAAAAAAATGCAGACGCTACAGAGAAGAAGAAGAAGAAATTACTCATACCTTGGAAGTCCTAACCACATGACCCAAGATGGCGACCAGCTAGCATCATATTCATTCTCACTGATGGTGCTCGGCTGCTCATCATTTGCCTGGGGCTGCTCTTCTGCAATCTGGACCTCTAGAGCCTTTAGAGCAACGACCGAGGAAGCAGCACTGGCTTTGAGCATAGCCACAGCTTCGCTGTGACTCAGATTGGTCAGATCAATGCCATTAATATTCATCAACACGTCACCTGGGCAAAAACCAACAAGAGATCCTGTTGAGGGGATGTTCAATTGCAAATGCATACCACCAAGTTGCTATTTTCTGTGCTTTATCTAAGAACAGGATGTCACGTATGTACAGATGCAGAGGACATATGGCAGCTTGCATCACGCTTGACAGAACTATAATGTCTGTTATTTCTGCGCTGCAATGCCAGCATTTTCCAATCAGCCTCATATGCTAAAAGAGGCAGTCTTTCTTTCTTTCTTTCTTTCTTTCTTTCTTTCTTTCTTTCTTTCT